TAAAAAAATACATACCAAAGTTATAAATTATTAATATTAAAAAATTAAATGCTTATGTTTATAAAAATTTACGATCAATAATTGTCATTTATTATAATAGAGATAACTGAAAAGAAAGAAAAAAAATCGCTTACAAATTTCTATGTTAATTGGAATTTTAGAAAAAGTAAAAAAATATGTTATAAATTATATATTATATGTAGATTATTTAAACACAATGTGCAAATATTGAAATATATACTTATATTACTTAAAGCCCTATATATGATATAATAAAATTCTTCAATTAAGATATTATAATGGCAATATAACTTCACTAAATTCTGTTTATTATTAGATACTAAATGTATTATGATAATAATTATTACATACGCTCATTTGTATATAGAGTACTATATAAATTAAACGGAAAACATTAGGTTTTTGTATTGTTACGCGACGTCGTAAATGGATTCATGAAATTTCAAATATATTGTTATTTATAACATACGAACAGATGAACTAAAGCTAACAATAAGTATACGTAAGAAAGCGCGCATCATAAAGCGCATTCTGAGTATGAAACTCTTCTTAAAAACGCACGAACCTAAAATCTAAAAAAAAAAGTAAATTTTTGACACGCAGCGCTTCTTTATATATATATACCTTATTCGAAAGCCAGTGTTCTCCAATGAGCGCCCGAATTCAACGCCCGCAGCAAGGCATCGCGCTTATTGGCTGACGCGGGAGTGGTGGGATTTGATGCCCACCAAAGTTATATAAATCGCGCGTAAATTGCCCGCGCGGGCTGTTTATTTATAATGTGTTATATCAATATGATGTTCCTTTGGAGCTTCTATGATCATCTGCGATGTATCGTATTGCATTGCATGGAGGACCACAACCATAATCCCGACTTCGAATAGCATAACTCTTTCTTTAAAGCCTAATTCTTTCAGAAAATAGCGCAAATTTCGATTATATAAATATTATAAATCATAAAAAAAAATGGCGTAGAAAGATGTTGAAATTTGCCTATGTAACAAAGGTATATATAACATATTCAATAATTATTATCTATATATCACTGAATTATATATTAATACTTTTATACACACACGCGACGTTAGATATGTGAGAACTATTTCAAGAACCGGTCGTTTCCAATTGTCGGTCGCTAAGTATTACAACTGCGGCGACAAGATTTGCAATACATTGTAGATTGCTCTTTATTATAACTGCCACCTGCACTGCGTTTCGTCACTCGTATTCGTGTCATACTCCGTGTAAAGTATTTGTTTGGACGTGGATGTATTTTATTTTGATAATTTTGCGCACGCACACGGTTCCGAAAAAGTTTATACGATAAAATTTGCACTTCGAATTTCCGGAGACTGAGGTGTCGCGCTGCCGCGGCCAACTTCATTATGTCAATCGCGCGCGTACCGCTGCGGCTGCCGCCGCTATAGAAGTGTAATTGGAGTTGAAGCGTATAACGGCTATACTGACGCGATCGCGCATGTTTTTGTTGCATCTTCGTTGAATTCCGTAGTGCGGGAATCCCAAGTGAATACAGGATCGTCTGCATGGTTACAGATAGGCCACCTTTTGAAGCCTGAAATCTTTCGGCTAAAGAAGAGTACGAGATTCGCGAGGCAAGATGTCGCGAGACCGAGGAGGGTCGAGAGTTTTCGTGGAAATCGCAACGTTCCATGCGGAAAATCGCATTTTGCCGGCCGTATAATTCACGATGTTTGCTTCGTGATGATTCGGAAAGAGAGGAGAGAGGCAGGATGCAGAATCCACGATAAGATCCGGCAGCCGTTATCGAATATCAATTAAGCGCAGCACGACTGGATGCCGGAAATCCTGTTTGCAACGACGAACGAGAAAAATAAGGTAGGCGCTAAATATTAATAGCTAGTATTTTTCACATTCCTGTGGGTATAATGGTAATTCTACAATATGTGCCCTTTGTTTCCTGTTTCTTGCTGTTTGTCTCTTGCTCCCTCTTGCCTTTTTCACCAAAATTGTAGAATTACCGTAAAAGCTTGCTCTGTAAATAAAATGCAGCAATACATCTGAAAATAATGTTTACAATATTCAGAAATGTAGTTTTAGGGCTAAATGAAATTGTTTTGGAACAAATTATAATAATCTTGACATTGTTATCAATTTTTATTCTTATAAATATATTCCCAAATATCGTATTTCTAAAAGTCTTTTGGTTAGAAAATAAATTTTGCAAAATTAATTAATTAATTTGAATTACGCAAGAAATTAGTCAATTATTATTGCAAAAGAACTTTTTTGCTATGTTCTCAGATATCAGGAAAAAAATTTAATTATAGAAAATTATACAATATAATAAAGGCTTTTGCGAAATTAATTAATTACTTAGATTTGTGTGCAGGGAATTATTGTCAATATAATTGAAGAAGAATTTTTTTCCTGCATAGTGATCGACATGAGTAATGCAATTGCCTTTTACGTGAGGAAAGAAATTTTATTGGTAACGTAGGAACGTCCAAATATATAAACAGCGTGTATAAAAGTATAAAAAATAAATATTAACAGCGCACACGCGCGCCGTTATTTCATGAGTCTTATGGATAACGAGTCGCGATGTACTCTCGACTGTGCAATTGGGAAGTCGCGAGCACAGTCAAGAGTACGATAGTATATAGCTACGATAGTATAACAGTAATAATAATAGTTTTTTTTAACAGTAGCAACAGGGAAAATAGACGAATCGTTCACTTTGAAAAAGATAACACGCTGCTGAGAACGAGATCGCTTTTACGATCTATAATATTATCTATTTAACTGTTCTCTTACGTGAATCACAGTACTTATAAACTTCTTGTTTACAACCTTCCGATTATTAAATCCGTTATTAAAAATGTGAACTGTGGGAAAGGCGATTTCCGAGGATCTGTCGCAGATCGAGATTATATTATATATTACAATATTACGAACTATTATACTTCGATTTTTGGAATAGTACGCAGCACACTCTCTCCAAAGTGGTCAGGTTCAATCGCAATAGTCGTGATAATTGTGATTGCTATTCCTACCGTTAATCATCATTAATGTTGCATTAAAATTATACACTAATTTCTAACACACATACCTCTCTCACACGTATCTATGAATACTTGTACCTACCAATTGTATCCCGCGAAAGTTCTCTATGTTCGAAAAACTAAAATCTATAGCAAGATATTTTAAAATATATTTACATATTTTTATTCTTTGAATTAGACCTGATCCTATTTCCAAAGAGTGATATAAACGGTTCAATCTTTATATACGTATAATATATTATTGCAATTTTGTAAATGCGAAATTCTACAGTAATCCTCTATCGATCTCGAGAAACATTTATTTTTTCCCTTTTTTTCCTTTTTATTATAAACAAAAATGAAATATTATCTTCTCTACAAACTAACTCCGGCATTGGATCGAGATTTCGTTATATCTTGGTGTGTAAACGACACGATCAATTTTTTTTTTTTACTTGAATTCAAACTTCTTCTAGTCCAGAGGATTGCATGGCACATTCAGATTTCGTTTCGTCGGGGATTCATAATTCGTTATAAGAATCACGCCGATATTCCCCGACGTTTCGCGCATTTACGGATTTCGATTTTGCGTAGATGCGTATTCTCTGACGATGAACAGCTCGATCCGTCGTGATTGCGACGTTAATTAACGTGTAATTGATATCCCATGGTTTGCTGCTCATGCGAGGATTTACGACGTCTGTCCTCCTTCATCCTTATCGCTTTAACTGCACTCGCGTAGTTGTTCCGCGCGGCAAACACTTGCTTGCTCTATTATCTTAAATTATTTTTCTCGGCCTCGTTCGCGGGGAGACACTTCTCATGGCAGTCGATTTGTAATCTACACTAATCGTCCTTAATTGACGGAGTCGGTAGGCGATTGGGGCCAATCGCATACAACGATATCATCTGTAAAGTTCTCTTAATTTGTATATAATGTTATCTCGTACGAATTCACCAACGATAGACGATGATATCGTCGATTGTGACGAGGAGTAAAATGGAAATTTGTCAATGTTGGTATTGGTGTGTGTGTGTGTGTGTGTGTGTGTGTGTGTGTGTGTGTGTGTGTGTGTGTGTGTGTGTGTGTGTGTGTGTGTGTGTGTGCGTGCGTGCGTGTGTGTGTGTGTGTATGTGTGTAGACCTGTGTAGATTCATCAACACTTATTTTTAAATCGCAGTAATTCTAAAGAATATTCTAAAAGAATATAATAAAAAAGATAATATTAATTATCTACATTTAAACTCTAAACCGCGATTATTCCGTCTAGGAATGGCAGTGATTGACTGAATCGTTTTTATTCTAATTATATAATATATAATATACTGAAATGTGTTCACACGTTCTGCCTATACATTCCTTAACATCACCCATACAAAACAATCAGCGTTCTCTCAAACGCATTGATCATTCAATCTTTACATGATTTGATTCGCTATTTTCCGCAGGCCGATTAAATTAATTATTGCTTTACAATTAAACGGTATATTTTGAAGTTCAAATTGTTTGTCAGTTCCAGGAATTCACGAATGTAGATCTTTTGTAAGATCTGTTCAATTCTTTTCAACTTTTTATAACTTGTCTTGGAGAATATTCGAATTTTTAACTTTGATTATATATAGATGATATATGATATATCATCTATGTGTTATTTCGATGTATTATATGGAAAGGACGGTTTTGTTGAAATATCTAACAATTTAATTAGATATAAATCTAAAAGTTTTGTTGGACGCTCAAAATAATTATGTAGAACGCTTAAACTAATTGCTAGAATGTTACAAACCTTTTGCAACATTCCTTATCACGTTTGAGATTTTTACGTAATTTATATTTTGATGGTCTCACAAAATTATTTTCAAATCTATATCTATAGGGAAATTTTTAGATACTTCAGCAAAATCGTTTTTTCTATGTACCATTGTAATAAATTCCTTCACACAAGTATTGATTTATAATTAGATCTTTTTAGTATCGTTAATTGCCGTTCTTCTTCCTCTTGTTTTCAGGAAGATTTTGATATTAATTTCCACAATCTGGTGATAGAATCTCGTTTAAAAAAAATCGTGAAAAATTGATTTAATTTCCTGGAATAATATAAAATTAAATTTTATCTAGAATCATATCGAAGCTTTGATCGAAGTAACTCATCGTGATCTTTTTCGAGATCAGTGTACGATGACGATTTCTTGTATGTACAATTTTGTCAGAATTCGGTGTATCAATCATCTTTTAATGAAAACACAGAAAACAACTCTGTTTTTTTTTTTTTTTTCAAAATGACGTCAATGTCTAGACTAATGCTTATCATTTTTATCAATGGCATCAAGTGAGTTAATTCCTCAGTTATAATGAGAAAAACACACATATAATCACTCCTGTCACTATACTTGTACGATTTCAATGACGGCGTTCAGAACAGCTGTGCTTCTTTTTCGACCGACTTCTCTTTAACGTCGAACTTGTCGGCGACTTTAATGAAGGGATCGCGATATCGCTTCTCCGCGATCGACTGTCGACCAGTGTTGAATCGGGTATCCTTGTTAAAAGGATGAGCCTTTCCAAGGTTTCCTACGCTGGCGCCTGCGCCATTGGCCTGTGAATCGGCACCGAAATCACATAGATGTCCAGCTTCTCGCCGGATGTCTTGTCGACGATCTCGTTGTAGTTGACGGAATCGTAAGATGGTGGGGCGAACAGATGATAAGGCGGCGGCGGGGTCTCCGTAACTCCGGTTGTATTTAACGTCTCAGCACGTTGCGCATAGGGCACTGTCAGAGGTCGACCGCCTCGTCGGCAGCACCACTCGGAACAGCTGACGATGAGAAAAAACGCCACCAAGCCGCCAAACGAGCCGATGTACCAGACTATCGACCATGGATCCAGTGGGTTCTGCATGTCGCCGTTGACTACAACAAAATGGGGACCTGTGAGCGAGGTGCTCGTTAATAATCAGAAATGTCTTGATTTCGCAAACTACACTCATGCGAAGGAATCACGGGGGGGACACAATTAGAGTGGCATTCATATAAAGTGGCTCCAGACGACACGGTCGGTCAATGTATGCCAACCTTACGCACATTCGCTAAATATTAGCATACATTTATATGGATAATTATGTCATATGTGTGTGTGTAATATTTACTGATGTTGGCATACATCGACCATGTCGTCTAAAGCTGCTTTAATGAGTGTCACAAGATGGAATATTCATGCAAAAATTAAAAGAAAAAGTTAAGAAAAAATTCTCTCTACGTTTTCAAGTATAAATTATTTCCAATATTTTAAAATTTAAGTATTTAAATATTAGTGGAAAATTCTTCTCTCTTAGAAAAGATTGGAAATTCTATAACGGAATTACGAGAAGATATTTTTAACATACTGTTCGTGTCAAAGCAGAAAGAAATATATTTATTATGTGCAAAAGATGTGACAACCATTTGCATTTGCGATCCACGTTACTCTTTTGTTGTCTTTTAAGATGCCATTCTCGATAGAAATACGAGACGATGAGTGCCGCATCTAAAATTAGTTTTGATACTTCGTCGTTAAGGTACTACAGTGGAATCAAAAGCATGATTATCAAGAACATTGTTTATTTTCGAAATTTACATTTGCAAATATTGTTTGTCACCATTATAGCCGGTTTTTCCTAGATATACATATATCGAAGAAACCGGCAGATGGCAATATAAAAAATTCATGTTGATTTCATGTTTCAAGTTCACACGATGTCGGAATCAGATACATATTTTCTCGCGATATGAATATATGGAAAGTTTCCTACAAAAACTACATCTTTTTTCCGATCGACGATGTGTATGTGCGCGTGTGTGTGTGTGTGTGCAAGAAAACGGATATTCTCGATCATTATTAATGCGTGATGTGTACAATGTGAACTCAGAAAAGCGATGCAAATGAAGATGAAATCTGCTACATATTTGCATAAATCCTTGGCGCGTGCAGCGCGGCGCCGTGAATTGTTTTCTGCAAGTGTGATTTTAACGGGATGGGAACTTGAGAGCTTGAGTTCAAATCTCAGTTTTTCGTATCACTTTATCCACTGAGTGACAAGATCGATTCTTTACACTGCGATTATCATCATGGACACATAATTCTTTATAGCATATTGCAAAATGTGAACAGCACAATAATATCGAAAATATCACGTAAAAATACAACTTCAATATACAATATATTATACACGTTATTTTTATTTTTCACATAACATTTTTACTCGTAATATTATTGTACTGTTAATCATAGTCCATTATTTAACTTGCCGTAGCTAAATGTTCGAAAAATTACATCACATTTTCTACTCTTTGCACAACTTTTCTATAATTATTATTACATTACATCAGTTTCTACTATTAAACATTTCATCCACTGGTATTTTCTAGTTTCTATTAATAAAAAGTTCTATCTTTTAATATTATTTGTGCAGAGGATTAAATTAACATCGAGTCATAAAAATGAAATGTTATGTCGCGCTTCATGACAGATAAACTTGAATTTGACAATTTGTCACAGGGAAATATTACAGAGGTCGAGAATATAACGAGATATTGACAGAACAAAGTAATATTTTGCTAAAATGATAATTTACGTTATCATCAATGCGTGTAAATATTCCGCAAAATGCTGATAGTTGCGATTCGAATAATGAATAATTACTATTTTTTTTTTAATGACTTTCGACCTTCGCGCAAGGTTTGACATTAATGCAGAACAGAATGAATGTAAAAAGAATATATCATGTATAAATATAAAATATGTATACGTTTTTCGATGTATTTGACTTCGAAATGTGTACCAAAATATTATATTCGAATGTGATGCACGAAAACTCGAATTGTAGCAGGAAATACTATGCTATGATCTGTAGTGACACGAGGATGGTGCGCGTTGCTATTACTATGAAGTCATTCTCGTGCACTAGTAAATATGATTCATGTTCTTACCGCTCTCTTCCGTGTCTCTTTCTTTCTCCGTGTTCTCCTCCTTCCCCCCGAATGCAATCACGTAGACTGTACCGCCGTCGACGTCGTCGTCGTCGTTGTCGTCGTCGTCGTCGTCGTCGTTGGATTTCGAGTCGACCGAGTGACGATTGTCGTTTACGCTGTGAGTTGCTTTATTGCTCTCCATTCGCCTTTCAGCACCGATGCTGTAACTCGACACCGTATGAGCTACGACAAATTATGATTACTTAATTAATTGCACTTAACTTAATGCGCATGTATTATGCTTTCTGAATATTGTTTGCGTTTTTTTTATTTCGTCTTATTAGATACAGATGTATTTATAAACGTAATTATATTTATAATTACATTATTATTTCCAATACTTGATGCAATAATAATTATTACTAAACGACCAATTTAATTAAAATATGATTATTACAATCCGATATTGAAACGGTGATATTTTATTTATATATGTACATTTATTGAAAGTTGCTTTTATTTATAAAGTTATATCTACTTATGACTCCCTTTTTTTCTATCTTTTTCTCTTGTAGTTTCTTCTTTATTTTTCTAAAAGAATTTTCGAGTGTTGGAACGCAATATAGGTATTTGCCGTTATCTGGCAGTTTTAGTACATTGCATTCCTGAGCAAAATGCAACTTCACGCGTATATCATATCGTGCAAAATCTCAGGGCTAAAGATGTTAACACCGAATAAACAACTCCGCCTGTCGCTCGTTAACCTGCATCAAGGTACTTCATGTGCCGTTTGTTACGAGGCGTAGGCCGTGAAGTCGATATACATTGAAGACGATGCGGTGTCGGCAGTTTCGATTGCGTTGTCGGCGCCAGTCTTATTCCGTCTTGTTAGCAAATGCGTATCTTTTATCGCGAATACGAATGACAGCGGGGGAATTGACTCGCGGAAACAGATGCACCTGATAATTAACGAGTCAGCGATGTCGCTGGCTATATTGTTTGAAAAGTTGTCTCGGAGTAATGAACATTGCGCTGGCGATTTTGTAGCAGACGAGCGAACTTCTCATAACAAGTTTCTTTAAATGTCAGCCGAGAGACACGTATACAGTTTGACCATCGAACAAATCCGATTGGTATAATAAAGATCTTCAATCTCCATGCAATCTTCTAAATGGTTCCCCTTCGTAAGTAACGAGATTAGTACGCAATGTATGGTTAGCGTGTTCGAGAGCTATTTCTGCCTATCGGGATTAAATAGTTAACTTCGTTCGCGGTAAGTTAAATCCACTCTTGAGGAGTCATGTTAGTATTAATTACCGTGAAGTATCTTCAATCATGAACGACCCGGAAGGAAAGTTTCGCGAATTTAAACTTTACAAACCTTCAATTTTTATTCTACCTGTATATATAACAGCATTCATTTCTTTTAAAACATATAAAAAAGGAATTGTGAATTAAAAAAATGGTTTAATAAGGTCTGAATATAACTTCGCTAATTTAATTTGTGTTTATGCTAATGGTTAAATATTTTTATTGTTATCATCTTTTAATAAATAAATAAATGAAACAGTTTTCTCCGTGTTTTTCTCTTGAATTGTACATATGAAGAACATTTTACCGCCGCTTTGTGCTATTTTTAGCTTATTGTTAGGCGTTGCAAAGTGGTAAAGCGTGAAATCGATCGAAGCTCGAGCTTTCCTTTTTAAAGAGAAAGAGGAAGAGAAAGAGAAGGGGAAGGGGGAGAGAAAGAAAGAATGCCGATATTGTTACAATTTCTTAAAGCAAGGCGTGGCTGATGTCTTTTAGTTCTTCCAGAATCTCACGTCCCTACTCTGACATGATTATCCGCAATATCCGCTACTTACAATTAGCAACATCGATTAGATTTTGCTTTGATTTTATGGACAAAGTTAGACTTGTGTAAGAACGTATAACGAACAGCATTTATTGTTAAGTCGCTTTCATGCTAAGTGCAAATCCGATTTAATAGATTATAATTTGCTGTAATTGGCTATTTAATACACTATAATTTTCTAATTGGCTATGAATATTTTAGCATATTGGGACTCGTATTAATAATTTCATTGTCAAACATTCATTAAACGTTCGAACCAATATCAAGTTTATATGTATTAAATATTCATAATCGAAAGGATAAAAAATACCGTTCTAATAAATAATTATTTTTATAGTTTAATATCTGTTTTCATTAATAAAAAGGACACTGAGTATTAAGAGATAGAGCATTAAACAAGAATTTGACAGATCAGATTAAAATTTAGCTTCTCAGATTTTTATCTTTATGTTTATAGTACACAATTTGACAGATATTTTTAAAGCATAAAAGACACAGGAGAGATGCTCGATTTATAATACTACCGGAGATGAACAGGTCTCTGTAAATATGTTCGTTTTTCGTCTGTTGATCCATATATATAGGTCATCATCGAAGGTCGCGTGTAATTAAAGGCGAACTCATGAGAGACAAACAGTGTGAGAGAGAGAGAGAGAGAGAGAGAGAGAGAGAGAGAGAGAGAGAGAGAGGTGGAAGAGGGGGAGGAGGAGCACTTCGTGACACTTGTAAATAATATATCCATTATTTCCTGTTAAATCATCGGAATCTGAGTCGAGCCCACGTTTCGCAGATCACATACGCTTTTCTGTTAAAGAGAAACGATTACGAAAACAAATTCCTACTGCAGTTAAGATACATGTGGCAATTTAAGTCGTGATAGATGAAAATGTCGATTTTTACGTGCGATTAATGTAATCGCTAACAATATAAACAACTGTACACACACATACATATATATACATGTATGAAAGATCTCGAATACTATCTGGCTTTGTTCGCGATTTACAATTGTCGGGACATCGTACGCGCATATGGCAAACGGTATCATTAGCGTCGTTACGATATTATGCGACGGGCGTTGCATTTACGTAACGGTTTTCTCTCTCTCTCTCTCTCTCTCTCGTTCTTTCTTATTCGCAATCGCGAGTCATGTTCCAAGCGATCAATGTTCAAATGTTCGAACGCAACGCGGTCGGCTACGCCCAAAATGTAAATCTTTTGCCTATGACCAATGACCGGTGAAACTCGCAAGGTTACGTTATTTACGACGTGAGGTTTTATTCTGAGCACATACAGTTTTGTCACATGTTGCAACTCAATCTGTCGGCGCTTGGTAGTATTGTTGATAGTCTCTGTCCACTGGGACAACAATCGCATGATTCCTTTCTGCTAATCTGTCGTAATACAAAATACAACCCATTCTGAGAAAGAGACGCATTCGGAAAGAGACACTGCTACATTGTTATTTATGCTTGACAGAGTACTTAAGGCTCGTTAACTCATTTCTGTACATCCCCTGACGTCTATACTCTAAATGGAGTTCAAGACCGATTTTCTGCATACTTATTTTTATCTTGAAAATATCTGCCATTAAATGTTATAAATACACCGTTCACATTTTTTGTATAAAAAATGTTAATTTCGACATTTTTGCATGCTCGGAAAGTCCACTATACGTTTTTAAGTTAAAACTACCATTTTACTTTTAACTGTGTACATGTAAAAGATTTTATTTTAGCTAATCGAATTTATATTTCATCACATAAATGAGAGAGAGAAAGAGAGAGAGAAAATAATTACTAGAAGCGTCACGTGTTGACATTACTGCGGCATATTTATTGTATCATTGTTAAGAAACATCGTATATATACTTTATGTCACTTCGCACTGATAAACTCTTCACGCAAACTTTTGAACTTTGCAACGGAAGTCTGCTTAAAGTCTTCGCGTTCAAGCATCTCCTCGTGAAAACGTCTCCTTCTGTCGCGAGGATGTTTGTAAAGTTTTACCTGACGCAAGTACGGTACTGTAGTACATCGTGGTTATGGAGACATCAGGTTGATCGAAATATTTGTGAAACTCCAGGCAGCAAGTAAATCGAGATAAATTGCCAACAGTAGCAATGAGTAATATTTCATGATATTTTCCGGAAATTTCGTGAAAATTATAAGAATCAAGTATGATAAGAAATAAAGCATGTTTTATATTACTTATCTATGTCTTCAATTTTTTTTCTTTTTTCATGATCAGATTATAATGTGATTGTCTTCTTACAATATTTGAATTAAAAATTTTTCGAGATTACTTTCTTTTTATTTATTTTTGTTATTGTAAGGTCGTTATTCCGGTATATATCGACAGGTTTAGAAAATATTAAATTGATAAATATTTTCAATTATATCGCAGTAGTCGGATATCATATCTTTCTTTCATCTCTTGTAAAATATATATTGCGTGATGAAATATTCTTTATGCATCTACGTACGTGCGTTATCGTAACGTGGAAAGATACACACGTGTAAACATAGCTCAAAAGCGAGGTTTGATATGATATACATTTTAATGATCGCATAAATCCGACGGTATCATTCACTGTGACGTATTGTTAATTCATGAAACTTTCGCTAGACGCATGCACTCATTCGTTGATCACTATGCAATTCATTAATGTTAATTATTGTAATTATTTCTTTTCAAAGCGGTGTAAACATTTCACTTTAAAATGAAACAAGATTATAAACTGACCTTAACGTCGATTTTTAAGATATTTATAAATCCGAATTTCATATTTTTTTCTCAAATACGTAAACATCTCATTTATTAATATATTGCTGCGTAAGTTTTATTTGTGTCGATACGAAGATGCAAGTTAAAATATCTTGTATCAAAATCCAGTATATCGTCACCGTTATTTACGAAATAAATTTTCATTTTTTATATCTTTATCGAATACTGTCCTTGTTATTCATATATGTAGCATACAATTTTTCCAATCATCGACGAGTGCGAACGCTTTTAAGCCTTAATCGCACTACAGGTTGCCGATTATGGTTGCCGGTTGTCGGTTCTATTTTAGCCAATCATGTTATAGCGAGTGGTTAGCTGTAACGTGATTGGAGAAAATAGAACCGACAACCGGCAACCGTAATCGGCAATCTGTATGTAATTATGGCTTTATGGTACCTTCACGACGTGCTGTGCAAACGAGTTTTTGCTTCGTTTTACGCATGGTTTTTATCGACTGCGGAAAAATTCGAAAAGCAATATCTTATCTGTATCGTATTTTTTAACAGCTATTTCATATTTATACTACATGTTTCGAGTTCTGTTGTCGTTCGGGAGACAATAGGAAATACAATACTTCGTTTTTCTTTACATCGTATAGATA